AAAAGATACTTACTTAAGGCCTATTCTCATCGTAGTTTATGGTTATATCTGTGGACCGCGGGTACCAGAAGACGTTTATCGTATACTCTATTTATAATGGTTATAGGTATAATCATTTTTTTCAGAGAAGTCATATTTTTTCTCTGTATTTGTTACTTTCATTTTACAGATGAGGATTTTTGGTTCATATTGACTAAAATTGTTTTTTTTATTAATTAAATTCCACATTAATTAACACAACCACAAACTCTTCTTCTTGTGTGTCCATCTTCAACAGACACGCATAAAAAATTATACTCAAATGCTAAAAACTTTTTTTTTTATTTTTTTAATACTTTCCAAAAATCTTACATTCGTTTGAAGAACATAATCGTTCCGGAAAATTTTCATAAATTGAGTTGAAATAATTCTCTTTCAAACTCTTCCTGTACTTAGGTTTTCAGTGGTTTTTTTTTATAAATTCCACATCAAAAGAAAGCTCATTTAAAACATTAGTTTTTAGGCTTTAGTATATTCTTAAAATTTTAGTTCTTAATTAAAATAAAATAATAATATATCTAGAATTAATAAATTCCTAACACCTAGTGGCATATTCGTGTGCACAAGTGAATTAATATATGGAATTATAAATCTCGCATTCCATTGGACAATTATTTCAGGGCTTAAAAACGATTATTATTAAATTTGACAGAAGGTGTCGATTGACGTAATGATGTAGACAACTTGCAAGTTGCATTGAAGTAGTGTTTAAAAAAAGTAAAAAAATAATAATAACGCAGATACAAGAGTTTATAGCGAATGCAAGTAAACGGATTATATGTTGTGTTGATACGGTCGGTTGAGTGACAATATGTAAAGGAATTCAAAGTACATTTATGGCGGCTGGTCGTTGGCCGTGCGACATTAGTTGGGCTAGTGAATTTTAGGAACATGAGTTAAATGTAAATAGTTACCCCCAGTGGCATGCGAATAAGCACTACTTGGTTCCAGGGGATCTCTATTGGGTACCACCAGCGAAGGTTGTACTTTAATTGAACTCAGCTACAGCACTACCGACACGCTCGTACTTATTATTTGTAGTAATATTGCAAAACTGGCCAGCGTCGCTTAGCTCTTAACGTGACAACTGAGTTGATGGCGACGGTGAACTTGTGTGGAATTGGTTCGTCCGGAGTCAGTGGCGTACGACCTGATGTCTTCACTTCGTCGACGGGAAGGACACTNCCTGATGTCTTCACTTCGTCGACGAGGAGGACACTCGACGTTGTATTGCAGCAAGCGGACGTCGGCTGTGCGGCAATTGTTAAAATTTGTATNAAGCGGACGTCGGCTGTGCGGCCATTGTTAAAATTTGTATCACATTTAGATATCTGTATGACATATTCCTTTAGATTGTTCAAAACAATATTTACCAGACTTATTTCAGTATTTGATTCGATAATTAAAAAATCTAGAAATATTCTTTTACTTTTGGTTCATTTTCGTTCAGATTTATTGTGTGTACTATTTATAGTTAATTCTTTTTGCGGCCAGTGTCTGTTGAACAACAGTTTATTATTAAATAGTAGTATTTAGGTTATTGATGTTTTTTTGTTATTATTTTTCACCTAATGTTTCATCAAAATAATGATCTCATCTTGAAGGTGTATGACACATTTTTTCAAGGTTTATTACAAAAAATAATGATAATCTTAATACGGTTTATTTCGGAATACCCAACGATTTTTTATAACAATAAAATCGTATAAGTCATAGACATATTAAAGATTTGACTAAAAATGATGAATGTCCAGTTATTTCTTTGTCAATAAACCGTTTAAATAACGTCGATTAATTTCATAACTAACTCTATTATCCTATGTTATTAATAGAAATTCAAATTTATTTAAAATTCGTTATTAACACAAACGGAATAAATGTGATATTCCAAGTAGTAAATATGAAGTCCTACGTTTTTAATGGGTCTTATATGTTCCATTGTAACAGAGTCAAATTTAATAACATTTCAATCTAAAGGTTTTCATCACTAAATAAAACTACTGATAAATTTCGCAATATGTTGTATCTGTATTATTAGTTGAAATGATAGTAAAAATAAATATTTATATTTGTCGCCGCTTAGGCTGTATTAAAAAATCCATACCAAATAAAAGTGGAATAAAACTTTGTCGTACGACTTAATATGGAAAACTACTAATGAACAATAATTTCTTTATCAGTTTAAAATTTGTTAAATGAAAAATAATTTTTGTTAACCTGAAATTAGATTGTTTAGTTTGATAAATATAACTTAATAGTTAAATACCAACAACCAATTTTTATTATTTCTGAGTTAAATAATTATTGATTATAATCATTCATATTACTCACATTTAGTTATGCAATGGCGTATGATCCACATGAATAAAATGTATTATAATTTATAAAAGTGATATTCTACCTGCAGTTGTATTATAAAAATGATCTAACCAATGCAAGAAAAATTTAATAGTTTTTTAGCTCCGCAGAAAAATGATGAAAATTTTGATATGATTAATGAATTTCCTGAGAACAATAGTCAACTTGAATTATTTTTTAATGACAAAAGCAAGGGGTTTATTTTATAATTTTTCGATCATTTCAACATTTCTTGAAATACTATATTTAACCGAAATTAAAATATCAATACATTAAAGAACCAAAACCACTACTAAAACTGAACTTAATAAAAAAATTATATTGATTTGATTATCTTTGAAAAAATTATGATAGTATTAGATAAAAAAAATTAAAAAATGTTGAAAATTAGCGATTTTAAATTTTTTTAAAGATTTTCCCCCATTTACGAGGATCGAGGGAAATATTTTCAATTTTTGAGGGTAATGTCTTCGACTAGATACAATTTGTGATCTTTTGACGTATCATTGAAAGAAATCGGTTCGGTGAGAGCTGAGAAAAAGTGGTAACAGGCAAAAAAAAAAAAAAAAAAAACATCTTAGTAAAACCAATACCTTCTCAGCGTCGCAGCTAAAATTGTTGTCGTGATGTGTTAGCAATATTTTGAAATAAGACATGTAAGAATTTTTTTATTTTTGTGTGAAAATACAAAATTTTATTTATTTTAATTTTTATGTTGTGTTTTTCAAATAATATTTTTAAGACATCTTTTTCAAAAGATATCAGGGTAAGGAGTGGTATTGTAGAGGTTAAGAATTATTCAAACTCGAGTCTACATTGATACTTGCTGATATAATCTAATCAACTTCTTTAAACAGACCTTAATCGACTAAGTCAATCTTTGCAACAGCGTTCTGGTCTTAAATTTTACTAATTGAATTTAAACTCAGATTATATGACAAACATAATAAGAAAAATGTGTGATATCAAAAAACATTAAATATAATTATTATAGGTTATTAATAACGTAAAACAATATACATAAATGTATTATTTACAAAAATTATATTATAATATTTTATTTAAATTACGTAGCCTCCAGTCATTACAAACGCTAAATGTAAAAAATGTAATTAACGTTTTAATATCGAAAAAACAAATATAATTTCTTATAAATAAATAATTTTTTGTTATAAGGAATATAAAACATATTCAACTGTATGTAACAATAATTCAAAAAGTTCTAAAATAAATATTTTTCTATATTACCAAAAAATTAATTTTAGTTTCATGTTTGAGTAGATGTACTTCATCTACTCAAACATAATACCCAAAATAGTTTTGCTGCTAACACGATGTATAAAACCGATTGATTCTAGATACACTTAATTATAGTCTTTGAAAAGTTTTACTCATTTATCGAATTTTAATTTCATTTAATTAAGAATAATGAATTTATTTTTAATTTTCTCAATATTCATTACACTATACCTAATATCTGATTCAAATTGTAATGATAAGCCAAATGCAGAACATGTAAGGTCAATTATAGGTTTTGATGGATGGCAATCATTTAAAGAAACATATTTTTTTGAAAATTCTGAAAAAAAAGAGAATAAGAAATTTATTCAAACAGTTTTTTTATGCAATGAGCCATACCAATCACGGTACACATATTGTAGTATAATATTAAATTCAGTTTATGTCTGTCTTATGGAACAACTTTATAAGAAGTATACAAATGCAGCAAATTACTACAAAAATTTAAGTGATCATAATATAAAATTGAGTGGCTTACACAAATTATGGGCAAGTATAACTATGTTGAAAATTTTGATAATCCATATGATAAACGGCCTTAAGTTTTTTAATTTTGAGGAAAAAGCTGTGCTTAATAATCTTGAAGAATTCAAAAAATGGATTGATGATAACAGTGAAATAGAAACTTGTAATAAGCGTAATATTGATAGTAAGTTTAATAGTATAATCAAAATTGTAGATTTTGACGATACTCTAAAGAAATTTAAAGAAAGATACGTTGTCCAAAGCAGTATAGACACAAATATCGCTAGATTTATAAACGGTCTATGTAGAGTTAAAGGTTTAGAGATCAATGATAATGAATTAATTAATCCCAACCAACAACATATAAAAATAAAGATTGACTATGGCATTTATATTTTTTATTTTAAATTTGGATTAAGATACTATTCGTTCAATCAGAGCTTCAAAAACGAAGAAAAAATTGTCGAAACAAATAGAGACATATGTGAAATCGTTACTAATTATTTCGAAAAATTTTCATAAAAAATTGTAAGAATTCAAAAAATTAATAAAAAATATTAAAATAATTAGTTATAAGTTAAAAAAAAATATTTTCATTTTATTTCTATTGATACGAAACAACATTGTAATTTGTTGATGACTACGTTGTGCTAACTTTTGTTTTCAATAATGTTTCTCAAGCGTAAAATAATCTTTATATTAAATTATTCCATATAATTTATTATGTAAGTAATAAGAAATAATTACTATTATAATAACTCATAAATTTACTTAGAAAATAAATATAATATTGGACATTTTTTTGCTTTTTTTAGTTACCTATATATTTTATTTATTAGTAATTAATTAATTTTTAGAATCTTCCTTTATTATTACTTATTTATTATTTATAGCTCTTTTAAACTTTTTTAAATTCTCACAGTTATATCGTTATTTTTTTACCTTTGTGCAGTGTACCTCAGTTTCCTACCTACATAAAGCAAACACCGATGTTTTCAATGAATTAAACCAATCTTTCCTTAAGTTTACCAAAGTTTTTCTTTGGATTAATACTGTACATGGATACAAGTTGGTTGTTTTCATTTTTATTTATTCTTATCACATCGATTCATTCTACCTAATATCAGCTGTTTTTATTTACTTTCTGGAGACTTTAACGGTCGGTAACACGGTATCTTAATTTTACCTCAAACATATACGTATTCCTATTTACGCTATTAATTTTTAAAATCATATAAACTATTAACTCTTATAATTATGGAGGAGCAACTTGCATCCATAACAAAAACATTAAATGAGATCAAATCAACGCAGAATAAGTTGATTCAATCGTTCAATGACCAAAATAAAACAATAAAAAACTTCAATAATCGTTTTGACGATCTTTTGAATCAAATAAAAAAAATAACTGATGAAAATATTCTATTAAATAACAAGGTTTCTCAACTTGAGCTCAAGATCAAAAATTTTGAACAGAATACTACATCAACATCTAATACAACCCATTTTGATATAATTAACGAAATTGCTGATAGACAATCGAGAATAAATAATATTATTCTGTTCAATTTGCCCGAACCGACTGAAACTAAACCTGATAGTGACCAAATTAAACTAATTCTTGATGAAATGGAACTAAAAATCCAACCTGTTAGGTATTTTCGCTTGGGCAACCCTTCTTCTCGAACTCGTCCATTGAAAATCACGTTCAACGATACTAAAAATGTATTTGACATTTTACGAGCGCAATCCAAAATCCGTTCCTCAAATCAATTTAAAGAAATAAGATTCTCTTCGGATCGCACTATGAAACAGCGTGAACAGATGTCAAAGCTACGGCAAGAACTCGAATCTCGTCGCAACAATGGTGAACAAAATATTATTATTAAATATATTAAAGGTAACCCAACTATTATTAATAATCCAAAAAACTAAATCGCACTTCATGTACTTTATCAATATATTATCAAAATGTTCGTGGTATAAATACCAAATTAAATAAATTAAATTCATTTATTCCATTGTCATCTTTAGATATTTTTACCTTTACTGAAACATGGCTCACAAATAATGTAAATTCTTCGGAATTAGGCTTTAAAAATTATAATGTTTTTCGATGTGACAGAAATGTTCTCACAAGTAATTTATCTAAGGGTGGTGGAGTACTTATTGCTGTTAAATCTCATATAATTTGTAAAATTTTAAATGTTACTGTTAAATGTATTGAGCAGATTTTTATTCAAGTTCAACTAGGAGCTAATATATTTATTATTTGCTGTATTTATATCCCGCCCAATTCACCTCTTACTCTTTATGAACAATTTTTCCTATCTATTAATGAACTTTACTTATCTAATCCTAAAGCCAAATTTATATTATTAGGTGATTTTAATTTACCCTTATTAGATTGGTCATTTTATTCTTTACCATTAATTTGTAATTCTCAAATCGATTCTTATTTTGTTAGCATGCTATCACACTATAATTTTAATCAATTTAATTTTATACGCAATCACAGCAATGTCATTCTTGATCTAGTCTTATCTAATGCTTACATAACCGTCGATAATGACCCTGATCCGTTAATTCCGATTGATAAACACCACCCGGCTCTTAATATATCACTAAATTTTGAACAATATGAAATCTTAAAAACTACACATGATTTAATTTATGATTTTAATAATTGTGATTACATCAAAATTGTTAAATTTATTGGTGATTCACTCTCCACTATTGATTTAAAATCCTATAATATAAATGAAACAGTTGTTCAGTTTTACCATATTTTGTACGAAGCAATCAATAATTATGTCCATATAAAACGTATATATAATAATTCATATCCTTTTTGGTACTCCAATTCGCTTAAATTATTAGTAAAAGAAAAAAAAATTGCTCACCTTGTTTATAAACAATCTAACAAAATGTCAGATTATATTAATTTCTCCCGTCTTAGAGCTAAATGCAAAAGAAATGCTAAATTAGATCACAAAAACTACATAAATAAAGTCCAGTTTTCGATTAAACAGAATCCAAAATATTTTTGGAAATTTATTAATTATTTAACCAATAATGATGCTCTACCTTGCTCTCTTTCCTTAAATGGATCAGTTGCCGAAAATGGTGCTGATATCGTTGAGCTTTTTAGTAAATACTTCTCTGATGCCTATTGTAATTCATCTCAAACATTTAATTCCCCCTCTTTAAATGTAGATAACCCTAATTTAAATTCTACTTTAAATTTAAATTCCATTACTGTTACTGAACTAGAGGTTTTTAATATGATTTCTGACCTAAAATTAAGTTCAACTGCAGGCCCAGATGAGATACCTACTATTTTCCTTTATAATTGTAGATTTATCCTAACACCGATATTAACTAGTATTTTTAATTTATCCCTCGCTAGTGGTACCTATCCATCTTTTTGGAAAACGTCGTTTATTTCACCTATTTTAAAAAAGGGTAATCCTTCACTAATTTCAAATTATCGCCCAATCTCAAAATTATCATCAATCCCAAAGTTATTCTCTCACTTAATTTCATCTAAACTTAACAATTTTTGCTCCTCAGTCCTAGTAAATAATCAATTCGGTTTTATACCAAAACGCTCAACATGTAATAATTTAGCCATAACAAAAAACTTAATACTTCAGTCATTTGAATCTAATGCTCAAACTGATATAATATACACTGATTTTTCCAAAGCCTTCGACCAAGTTAATCATGTATTACTTATTAAAAAATTACAATCTTTTGGTTTCTCTGGATCACTTCTTAAATGGTTCCAATCTTTTCTTTCAGACCGTTCCCAAATTGTTAAATACCTCAAATTCAAATCGTCACTTTTCCCAGTCCCTTCAGGCGTTCCTCAAGGAGACCACCTGTCTACACTTCTATTTAATATTTTTATTAATGACCTGCCTAATGTTATAATGAACTCTAATATCCTTATGTTTGCTGATGATGCTAAATTAATAAAAATAATTAAATCTGAACAAGATGCAATTTGTTTACAATCAGATATTAATAACTTACTCAAATGGTGTAATAAAAATCACTTATTTTTAAATGTGGATAAATGTAAATTTATGCACTTTTACCTAATAAAAAACCCAATTAATTATTGTTATTCTATTTCCAATATAAATATCGAGCTAGTTTCTCAATTTAAAGATTTAGGCGTTATTTTTGATTCTAAATTAAATTTCTCCCCTCACACAGAAATGATAAGAAATAAAGCTATGCGTAATTTGGGATTTATTAAACGCACTTGTGGCTCATTTATAGATCCTGTTCCTCTAAAAATTCTGTTTTATTCCCTTGTACGTTCCCATCTTGAATACTGTCCTCTAATTTGGTTAAACAATACTTCTAAACAAAACACCGCACTAGAATCTGTTCAAAATAATTTTCTCCGTTTTATTTCATTTAAATTTAACATACACAGACCTCCCCATAGCTCTTATGACAGCATTCTTAATTACCTTAATTTTAATACACTCAAAGAACGTCGAATGCTTTTGATTTCAAAATTTTTACATAAATTATTATTAGGACTCATTGATTGTCCGGAACTCCTATCATTAATTAATTTAAAAATAAATAATATTAATACTAGAAATCCTAAACCTTTTTATCCTCAATTCTCAAAAAAAAATTACATTTTAAATTCCCCTGCAAACCTTTTGATGACAGCTGGTAATATATATTTGTTTGATTTTTTTATATGATTTTTTTGTATTTTTAGTGAACTTTTCTGAGTTTTTATATTCATTTATATTATAATAGTTTGTTTCATAATACTGTATACTTTTTCGCATTTATATAAAATTGTTTTTTATTCTTGTATCTTACTTTACACCCATGTAAATTGTTATTGGACTAACGTCCGTTTAAAATAAAATAAAATAAAAAAAAAAATAAAATTACAAGAGATGATAATGTAATAATAAAGAAATTATAAGAAATGTAAATGTTATATTTATAGGGATGTCAACTTTAATTTTTTAGGCAACATACATTTTTAACTAGTTTATAAAATAGGAAATAATATAATTAAGAAAATAATTGATAAATCACAATTTTCGGACCAGTATTTCAGAAGTTATTAAATATTTAAAGTAATGATTGGGGAGGTAAGGAGTGGAAGTTTTTAAACAAAGAAAGCATATATATATTAATTATACGCGTAAAAATAAAATATTTTTGTACTTTAGAATTATTTCTTTCTAATACCAACTGTTAGATGATATCATATATTAATTTTGACTATGACAGAAACAAATGAGAAATATATAAATATAATAATTTTAATTTTAATATCATAAATACAATTAAAAAAGAACAGTGACTAGTTGAGTTGTGATAAAAATAGCAATATTTGTACCTTGTGTTCTGCCAATTAATATATTTCATAATGTGTGTCCAAGTCAGCTATAATGAAAAAACACTATAATATATTGGTATTCAATAAGGAATATACATTTAACGATTTTACAAAATTATAATTTGCCAAATCATGTCTTTATTTTTCTATATAATTTTAAAATCTCATTGTGGAAAATCAGTACATTTTTTTGATTTTTGTTAGAACAAATAGTAAGTTATAATAAAATGAGGGAAAATATTTATTCATCTAACTATGACAAGTACCCATAACATATTTCAATTAATGTTGTAAAAATAACGAAAATACAAAGAATATTATGACAATATCTTTATAATAAATTATTCTGAATGCGTGTTAATAACTATGATGAAATGCTTAACTAANAGAACAAATAGTAAGGTATAATAAAATGAGGGAAAATATTTATTGTTCTATGACTCGTACTCATAACATATTTCAATTAATGTTGTAAAAATAACGAAAATACAAAGAATATTATGACAATATCTTTATAATAAATTATTGTGAATGAGTATTAAATAACTATGATGAAATGCATAATTAAATATGATGTATATTTATATTGACTAAAATTAATAATAAGTATTAAATTGTTCTTGTATTTCTAAATACAAAGGTAAAAACTCCTAGAGAATATTAAGAGCCCAGTTGAAGAAGAAGAATATGTATTTTAATTAGAATACTAAAATGCTAAAATTCAAAAAATTAATAACATGAAACATATTTTAACAGATATGAAAAGTCTAATTTCAAAGTTCTAATTAAATTTGCTAATGTAATAATAATGATTATCCTATAATCTTTTNGAAACATATTTTAACAGATATGAAAAGTCTAATTTCAAAGTTCTAATTAAATTTGCTAATGTAATAATAATGATTATCCTATAGATAACCTTTTTCTATCTAAATTTATTACATAAATTATTATTTTTTAATAAACCACAGTTGTAAATAGTAATAATATTGTTTTTCATAAAATTAATATCAGTTTTCGAATACTTAGTAATTTTTGAAACTATTGGTTAAAAAATGGTTTGTGACGTGGATTGATTGGTTATCTTTAGCGGTCACATTATTTTTGGGAACAGTTTTAACCTAAGTAAGGGCCGTGTGTCTACTTGTACTATCTTTAATAATTATAATTTCACTCGAAAAATAAATACATAATTTATTGCCATAAGAAATATCAAACATATTCAGTTGTACGTACTAAGTTATTTAAGTAGTTTTAAAATAAATATTTCTCTTTATTACCAAAAAAAAAAAAAATTAGAATCATATTTGTTTAATAAGCACAATTTTTGAAAAGTTTTATACATTTATGAATTTTAACTTTATTAAATCCAGAAAATGAATTTCATTAGCTATATTTAAAAGCAACTTAAATTGTTTTAAAATAAGTAGTTCTTTATTCATAAAAAAAAATATTGTCAAGTATCGTATTTGATTAAATAAAGTACGTACAATTTATTATTAAATCTAATAATAATTATATACTGCTATCTACAATATATAAATACGATTAATGTTACATACAATTAATTTAATTATTTGAAAAGTTTTACTCATTAATCGAATTTTAATTTCATTTTATTAAGAATAATGAATTTATTTGTAATTTTCTCAATATTTATTATACTACATCTTATATCTGATTCAAGTTGTAACGATGAGCCATCTGAAGACGAGTTAAAGATTGTTATAGGTACTAGAGGATGGAGATCAATGAAGGGCACAAATTTCTATAAGAATTCTTATGAAAAGACAAACCATAATGTTATAAACCTAGCATTTCTAGAATGGCAAAGTTATGATTCGATGTACCAATGCAGTGGTATAATTTTAAATTCAATTTATGTCTGTCTTATCGAACAACTCTATAAAAAGTATTCAAATGCAGCAAATCGCTATATGAAATTTCATGACAACACTGATAAAAACAACTCCTTACAAAAATTATGGAGAAGTATAACTATGATGGATTGTTTTGTAACCCATTTGATAAATGGCCTTAAATTTTTTAATATTGAGGATAAAGCTGTGCTTGAAAATCTTATACAATTCAAAACATTTATTAAAAAAAACACTATACAAGGAACGTATAGTGAAGATTCGATTAATGTTAAGTTTATCAAAATAATCAACGTCGTAACATTTGATAATAATCTTCAGATTTTTAAAAACAAACACGTTAGTCACAGACATGAAGAATATATTATCATATATTTTATTAATTCCTTATGTGGATCTGTGAACGAAGTAATAAATGATCATGAATTGATTAATCCCGATCAGAAAAGTATAAAAGACATTATTGAGGATAGTATCCAGGTTTTTTATTTCAATTTTGGTTTTGGTTATGATTATAATAATTTTAATCAGCACTTTGAACCTGAAGATATTATTGACATGACAACTGGGAAGAAACGTATACGGGATTCGAGTCGTCTTTACCCAAATATACGGTATTCATAATTTGTGTAAAATTTATTAGATTAATTATTCAAATTTAAGAAAAAAATGTTTAAACCTCATTATTTCAATATAGGTATAAAATTTATTTTTTAAAAGCTATGTTGGAATTTACCAAAAAATTTTTTCTTTTAACTCTATGCTAAGAATTGTGTGCTAAAATAAAATTATATCATTAATTAATAAAAATATTTTATTTTTTTCTTTAAATAATCATTTTTTCGGTAAAATAATGAATTTAGTCTAAAATATTTATATGAATCATAATGAATATTAAATTAACTATTTAGATAAATGATTGCTTTTATAAAATCTAAAAACTTTAATTAAAGAAATCTATAGCTATTTTTATACAATTACACGGATAAAGAAGCACAGTTGAGATTATTTATCTTTCTAAATGGCTAATAAAACGAATAATACAATCTATCAATCGTTTTTGTGAGCTATTTAAATGAAAAGATTGCAAAATATGTTTTATTATGTTTATTGTGAATCTTTGCTAAACTTATACCACCCGTAATGTTTTTGTACTGTTCAAGGAGATGTCTTGTTTTAAACTTGATTTCAAACTTGCAAGTTGGGTTAAAAAAAAGTTATGGTAACCTTCATTATAAACTTTTATAAAAATCAACTTTAAAGAACCAAAAAAATAGATTAAAAATGACATTTTATACGTATTATTAATATCATATATTATTATAACATATTGTATATCAAAATCAATAATTATTTGAAAATAAATCCGCGAAAGTATATTCTGGTTTGTGATCAAAATACCTTGTAAACCAATGTTTTCACAAGAAACAACTATTTTTATTTGAAAATTATTGAATTTAAATTCCTCTAAGTTTAATACATGTTTGTTATAAAAGTAACGAAATATACGTAAAAATTACAATATTAAATTATTATTTCAATTTGAAATAATATCAATTTCATACTAATTTTAACATCTACAAGAAGAGTTCATATTGCTTTTGAAGCATTTCTAAAAAAAATTATTTTTATTTACACCTAAATTTAACAATAGATTTTTACTATTGTAATCAAATTTTATAATAATAAACTCAATTGAGTAGATTTTGTTAACAACTCTTTGATAGCTTCTTTTAGTAAAAATTAAATCATTAAAATTATTTAAGTTCTGAATATTTCAATTGTAGAGTCTTTTTAAACACCAAAAGTTATTTAGAAATGATTACCATGATTTCTATGATATAAGTGATCTATTACGATAAAAATGCAAAAAAAATTAGCTTTTTTAATAAATTTACTGTAAATATGTCAGTATGTGTTTAGCGTTGATAATGGTAACATTGTTTCCGAAATACGTATACTCGACTTTTCATTAATTTTTTGTGGCTTTGAGTTGAATATTTTTAATATTTTTTAGTTTTTTAAATTAATAATATTTTATATGTAGTTTTAATTTTACTTAATTAATTAGCCACAAGTGATCAATTTTTATTATACTGTAAATAGTTATTATAAAATTTCCTGATTGCATATTAATCTTAACAATACAATATTTTCTATTAAATGATGTCAATTTCAAACTTGCAAGTTAAGCTAAAAGTTATGGTAATAAATTCATTTTTTTTTTATTATAAACCTTTACTTTAAAGGATAAAAAAGTAGGTTTACAAGATATGATTACTTTTAACATATTAAAAATCAAAATCAATAAGAATTTTTAAACAATTGATTATAAAAATTAGATAATATATAATTAAAAAATCAAATATTATTTTTATGAATCTAAGAATTTTTATATGAAAATATACTTATTTAATTAATTTGTATAAAAAAAATAATTTATGTTATTAAAATATTATAAACAACATTTTATGTTCATTGTTTATGTTTATAAACATTTTTCTTATTACATTTGTCGTATACTCCGCGTATACTATTGATTAATTAAATATAATTTCACTCCTCACTATGGAGCTTTATTAATAAAACAACACTCTTTTAGATGTTGGTATTTCACAAAGGGTAGTTATAGTACTAACCTAAGTTCTCCTAGAACTACGAATGGTTGTAGCGATCAACAAGAGTTGATGACTACAATTTCATCAAGAACTGAAAACGTTGCAAAAATCGACAGACCTGTCTTAAATATTATTATAAAATGAAATTTAAGAAAAAAGTAGCGTCCGGCTATTCATCTAACTGTCAATGTATTTTCTTACAAACGTTAAGAGTAAAGTTTTTATGTCAAAAAATATTAAACATAAAAAAGTTCAAACGTTTAAATATTTAATACGCTACGGCTAAAAAAATTAGTTTTTAATTTATCCTAATTTTTTTAAATTATACAAAATGTTGCTTTTTATAACTTAGAACAAAAAAGTTGAAAATTCTAGGAATTACATAAGTACTATATAATTCATATGATAATTAATCAAATTTCTTGATTTTTACAAGTAATTACAATGGCTGAATAGTAGAAAACTATATCCAAAAAATTTTTTTTTGAAAATACATGCGATGAAATCTTCTGATTCTGATCAAATTTGTACGGATATGACGTATTAATACATTTATTTTATATTCAATCATGTATCAAAATGTGTGCTCCAAAGAAATAACAATTAAATTATTTATTTATTTCAAATCATAATTTGTCACGAAAATCAAGTACATAATTTACTTTAGTAAGAAATATAAAACTTATTCAGTCGTATTAAACAGCAATTTAAGTAGTTCTCAAATAAGTATTTTACTTCATTATAAAAAAACTATTTTAAGTAACCTATTTGCTTAAAAAAAGTGCGTACAATTTACTACTAGATCTAATAATAATTATATGCTGCTACCTACAATGATAATAACGTTGAATTCTAGATATATTTCATTTAAATCTTTGAAAAATTTTACACATTTATCGAATTTTAACTTGATTCAATTAAAAACTGTATTAAACACAAAATCAAATATAATATAATAATTTTACACAAAAGTTAATTAAATCTTACAATAAGTATAAAGTTATTTTTACATCAACGACCTAACCCGTAACTCGACGTTTCTTCGACAAAACGTCCAGTCTCGTCTCGCCCAGTATCGTCCAGTGTCGTCCCCCTATACTTTTCATGTTTCCCTTTTATATTCTTTTTCCCACCATTATTAATTTGCTTACCCTGCATTTCCCTTTTATATGGAATTATTATATTGCTTAAGAGTCCAAAAATTGCTTACTACTATTGTAAAGCTTATATTATACTAAAATCGACGTAATTCAATACTTCCTCATCTAATTACTACAAAACATTTAAATTTAATTTTCTCAATATTTATTACACTATAACTAATATCTGATTAAAATTGTAATAATAAGCCGACTGAAGAGCAGTTACGGTTAGTAATAAATACTTCAGGCTTATTAACACAATAAAAAAAATATGTGATATCAATAAACATTAAATATTGTTATGTTATTGATAATGTAAAACAATAGTCATTAAAACATAAATATATTCTTTCCAAAAATTATATTAAAAAAAAGTAGCCTCCAATGACTAATAATGCTAAATGTTTTAATATAAAAAAACACTTATAACTTCTTACACAAAAACAAGTACATAAGGTATTGTTATAAGAAATTTCTATGATAATTAATCAAATCACTTGATTTTTACAAGTAATTATATGGGTTGAATATTAGGAAACTTTATACAAAAAAGTTATTTTTGAATACACGTGAGATAAAACCTTCTGATTCTGATCAAATTTGTAAGGATATGACGCATTAATACATTTATTTTATATTCTATCATGTATCAAAATGTGTACTCCAAAGCAATTATAAACAAATAAAATATTTATTTCAAGTTATAATTTCTTGCGAAAAACAAGTGCATAATTTATTACAGTAAGAAATATCAAATTTATTCAACTGTATTTAACAGCAATTTTAATAGTTCTAAATTAAGTATATCTCTTTATTAACAAGCAAAATCATATTAAGTATAATATTTATTTAAAATAAGGGCGTATATTTATTATTAAATCTAATAATAATTATATACTGCTACCTACAATACATAAATACAATTAATGCTACATACAATTCATTTAATTCTTTGAAAAGTTTTACTCATATGTCGAAATTTAATTTCTGTAATTTAAGAATAATGAATTTATTTGTAATTTTCTCAATATTTATTACACTAAATCTGATATCTGATTCAAGTTGTAATGATAAGCCACCTAAAGACCAGTTAATGACAGTTATAAAAGCTCCAGGATGGAAATCAATAACTAGCACAGTTTTCTATAAGAATTATGAAGAAAAGTCAAAGAGTATTGATATAAGCTTAGCGTTTCTAGGCACGGGAAGTTATGATTCGATGTACCGAAGAGGTGGTATAATTTTAAATTCAATTTATGTCTGTCTTATCGAACAACTCTATAAAAAGTATTCAAATGCAGCAAACTACTATATGAAATTGCATGACAATACTGATAAAAACAAATGCTTACAAAAATTATGGAAAAGTTTAACCATGATAGATCGTTTGATAACTCGTATGATAAACGGCCTTAAATTTTTTAATTTTAAGGAAGTAACTGTGCTTGATAATCTTATAACACTCAAAAAATTTACTAAAGAAAACACAATAAAAGGACCGTATAATGAATATTCGATTGATGATAAATTTAGAGAAATAATCAAGGTCGTAACATTTGATAATAATCTTCAGAATTTTAAAGAAAAACACGTTGATCAAAGACGTATAGAATATTCTATCTTATATTTTATTAATTCCTTATGTGGAGTTGATGACCAAATAATAAATGATAATGAATTTATTAATCCTGATCAGAATGATATAAAAATCAAAATTGAATATAGTATAAAGATGTTTTATTTTGATTTTGGATTTAGATATAATCTGTTTAATCAGGCCAATCTTGAAGAACTCAATGAAGAATTATACCTAATTTCTAATTCAATTTGTAAAAGTAAGCCAACTGAAAAGGAATTAAAGTTAGTTATAAATGTGTCAGGATGGACATCAATAAACACACGTTTGTATGATAATTATGATGAAAAGTTAAAAAATAATAGTATTTGGTTAGCGTTTGTACACACGGGAAGTTATGATTCGATGTACAAAAGTGGTGGTGTAATTTTAAATTCAATTTATGTATGTCTTATTGAACAACTTTATAAAAAGTATTCAAATGCAGCAAATTACTATATGAAATTGCATAATAACACTGATAAAAACAAATGGTTACAAAAATTATGGAAAAGTATAATTATGATAGATTGTTTGGTAACCCATTTGATAAATGGCCTTAAGTTTTTTAATTTTAAGGAAATAGCTGTGCTTGAAAATCTTATAAAATTCAAAACATTTATTAAAGAAAACACAATAAAAGGACCGTATAATGAATATTCGATTGATGATAAATTTACCGAAATAATCAACGTCGTAACATTTGATAATAATCTTCAGAATTTTAAAGAAAAACACGTTGAACAAAGACGTATAGAATATTTTATCTTATATTTTATTAATTCCTTATGTGGAGTTGATGACAAAATAATAAAAGATGATGAATTTATTGATCCCGATCAGAATGATATAAAAAAAATAATTGAGTATGGTATCCAGGTTTTTTATTTCAATTTTGGTTTTGATTATGATTTTTTTAATCAGCACTTTGAACCTGAAGATATTATTGACATGACAACTGGGGAGTTACGTATTTGGGATTATATGTGTATTAATTTTTAATAAGTACTAATAATTTGTGTAAAATTTATTAGATTAATTATTCAAATTTAATAAAATAATGTGTTATTAAAATAAAATGATGTCATTAATTAATAAAAATATTATGTTTTTTTCTTTAAATAATAATTTTTTCCTTGTAAAATAATGAATAAAGTCTTAGTTATTTATATGAATCATGATAAATATTAAGTTAAACCCTTAAAAATTGAAAAAAATTCCCCCGTTCCCCGTAAATGGGGGAAATCTCCAAAAAAATTACAAATTTAAAAATCGTCAATTTTCGAAATTTTTTCAATTTTTTTTTACTAAAATGTGCCGTAACTTTTTTAAAAATGAACATATCAATATAATTTTTTTTTTTTATAGATGCTTGATGTCTTTACCTATCATTTGATATATTTTTTTTGAACATTTGACCATTTATCTGCCCACAGAGGGTGATTTAAAAAGACAACTTTTTCACAAAAAATTAACTTTTGAAAATGTTCCGGAAGATCTAACACTTTTATACATATCTTAAATTAAAGCTAATGTAATATACTTTAATTTGAAAAAAAAAAATTTGACCTCTGGACTTGTCTTCGTGGTGAAAGTTGACATCAAAGTTAATAAAAAATTACGTTTTTTGTAAAATAATTTATTTTAATATTTTTAACTTAATAATGCTATAACTTTTTCAAAAATGAACATATCAATATAACTTTTTTTTATATAGATGCTTGATGTTTTTACTTATTATTTGGTATAGTTTGTTTTGTAAATCTGACACTTAACCTGCCCATAGGGGAGGATTTAAAATGACAACTTTTTCACAACAAATTTACTTTTTCAACATAACTTTTGAAAATGTTCCGGAAGGTCTGACACTTTTATACATATCTTAAATTAAAGCTAATGTAATATACTTTAATTTGAAAAAAAAAAATTTGACCTCTGGACTTGTCTTCTTGGTGAAAGTTGACATCAAAGTTAATAAAAAATTACGTTTTTTGTAAAATAATTTATTTTAATATTTTTAACTTAATAATGCTATAACTTTTTCAAAAATGAACATATCAATATAACTTTTTTTTATATAGATGCTTGATGTTTTTACTTATTATTTGGTATAGTTTGTTTTGTAAATCTGACACTTAACCTGCCCATAGGGGAGGATTTAAAATGACAACTTTTTCACAACAAATTTACTTTTTCAACATAACTTTTGAAAATGTTCCCAAAGGTCTGACACTTTTATATATATATCTTTAATTAAAGCTAATGTAATATACTTTATTATGAAAAAAAAAAATTGACCTCTAGACTTGTCTTCATGGTGAAAATAGCTATCGAAGGCTATTTTTGTGTTTTTTTAACTTTATTTAACATTTTTAACTTTATAATGCTATAACTTATTGAAAAGTGTATTTTTTAAAATTAAACACTATCTTAAGATTTGCATCGAAGCGTTTTATTTTGATAGTGATTTTAATCACTGTCAGATATCATTATACTTGATCAAACTATGCCGCGACCCCCCTGTGCTGGGTTTTTAAATTCCATGCTAATAAATGTGTGTTAAAATAAAATGATGTCATTAATTAATAAAAATATTGTAATATATTATTTTGTAAAACTGAAAACAAAGCATTTTTGTAATGTTAGGTTTAACTATGAATTTCTTTATCTATTATTACAAAAATATAATATAGTCTATTACTTGTAAACCTAGAAGTAGAACACTTTTGTAATGTTTGGATTAATTGTAATTCCCCGAATTATTGTTACTAGATCAGGAAGTAGAATATTTATAAACATTTTTGAAAATGATTATATATGAATTTTATAAAAAATTTATAAAATAGACGATTTATTTTTTATTTTATTTATTATTTTACAAGGAATATGTTATTATTTAAAGAAAAAACCATAATATTGTTGTATTTAAATATGGAACAATCTTTTTGTTCTAACTTATAGTTATAATAGTTCAATAATAACCCAAAATGTAGTTAATAAATATATAATTAAACAAAGTAAAACATATAAAATATTGATACATTTAAAACAGGATACATAAATAATACACAAAATGAAAGCTTTATGTCACAAACGTATCACGAGGAAAGAGATTACGTTTAGTACTCCCGAGGTTTTCTCTTTCTCTCCTTTTCAATTCATTCCATTTCGTCTTATATACTAAAATATTTTCTTTTTCTCTTTTATAAAATTCATATAGTAATCATAAAACCTCCTGTCTCAATGAGAAAAAAGACACACCGCCAAAAAAGGTATTCGTAAACGTCGAATAAATTATTATTTCCATGCTGCGGACTCATGTAGAATACATCAAAATCTTCAATTTTGGTTTGAATGATAATATATTTTTTATGTTATTAAGTATAATACTGTCTCATATCATATTGATATCATAAATATTTGTTTCTAATGACTTTGGGGACTCGAAGACAGCCAGTTGCAATGCCCGATTTAGAGATGGAGGCCTCCACATCAAAGAAGTGGAAGCCCAACTTATTTTCCAAATATAATGAATAATTTTTTCATTCGAGTTTTCCAATAAATAATTTATTGTGAAACCAAGTATATATTATTTTATTATTTAACAAACATAAATATAACCATAAACAAGAATTATCTGAAATTAAATTTTAGCAATAACAAACGGAACTTTCCTATCTTTTTTCGACGAAAAATCGTAAATGATTTCGCTAAAATCCAGTTCTCGAAGTAAATCACTTTCATTTTAGAAAAGTTGTTTACTATTCTGAATTTGAATTTATTTTTCCGAAGTCTCTATTATGAAGCTCCTCTTTTGTTGTTGTTGTAGGCTGTGGCCCGGTTGCCCTCCCCTAAACCTGACCCTGTCAAGTTTTTCAATATCAAAACAAATAAATGTTATATTTTGTAGGAAATAGCTGAGGAAGTAATGAATAACATTGATTTTAGTATAATATAAGTTTTACAATAGTAATAAGCAATTTTTGAAATCATAAGCAATATAATAATGTCATATAAAAGGAAAATTCAGGGTAAGCAAATTAATAATGGTGAAAAAAAGAATATATAAAGGGAAACATGAAAAATATAGGATGATTTGACGTTCTGACGAAGAAACGTTTAATTACGGGTCAGGACGTTTGGTGCGAGTAACTTTTTATTTTGTACGACTTAATTTATTTTGTGTTACATTTAACTTTTTATATATTACGTTTCTTAAATAAAATAACTATTTAAAAACCTGCACTTACCGTAAATACTTTATATACACCGTGCTGTTAAAATTGTGTGTGTGTGTGCGGCAAGAGTCGAGGTCGGCTGTTGGTCGTTTAGTCCGTCTTAATAATTAGTATGCTTGCTGGCTAGTTTTTGGGCTTAACCGTCCTTTAGTAAGTATAGTGAAAAACTAGTTGTCTTTCAGTCTGCTACTTTTGAGCTAGACCGTGCTGATGGGTCTAAACTCTATCCCTTTAGTAGTTCACTAATTGGAGGGACTGGGGCTGACCAGTATATCTAACGGGAGGACTCAAGAAGAACTAAAAACGAAGAACTAAACGTCATAAACATTAGTTAATTAGTGTATTACTTCTTGTGACTACGTCGAGGTACTACCGACGTACGTCAATTTTTATGCAGTATTTCTTTTAAATATAATTTAATTTATTGTATACAAATATACATAAATCTCTATATTAACTTTATGTATGTACAAAGCTAAACAAAATTAGTTTTTTATCGCCAATAAATTGTTACTGTTATTCTTATTCTTCTAATTATTATATTTTGTTTCAAATTTAAGCAAAATTCTGTATAAATACAAATGTATGATTTTAAGTAATACCTCAATTGTATACAATTGAAAATATAAAGTATTCTCCATTAGCATAATATGTAGATATTTTTTTACAATGATGTGGAAGGTTATGATTAAAGAATCTTATCAACCAATTTCTTACTTTATAGGAGAGCAGTATGAAATTTTTATTTTCCATTTAAATTAATGAACAAAATTTATTTATTTGTAAAAAAAAATATACCATTCAACACAATTAATGGTACAGAATTTTTACATTTTGGTTAATTCTAGACCCTCGATTTTTTCAATCAAAATTTGTCAAATTTAATAAAAACAATAACTCGTTAATTAAATGTTATTATTGCTATGGTATTGTTTACTGTATAAACAAATAATTTAATTTTAAACTACTATAATGTACAGAACATTTTTTGGAAATTATAATTAACTCGTCTTTCATGTAAATTGAAGATATAATTTATTTTTATTGTACATAATTAATAATGAAATAAAATAGCAAATTAACGTCATTATTATTTAATTTTAAGTCTTAGCTTTTAAATATAAAGATTTTTAAAAGAAAAAATATAGTTGGCTACATTTACTCTATGGTTACCTTAGATTTACGAATTATATAAAAGTATGCCCTAAATTTACTGTTACAGTTCATCAAACATTACTTAGTAATTGATCTATCGAGTGAAAATTTACCAAATTTATTATGCCCGACTATCAGTTATCTACACTTTCCGATATTCTATGGAGGTATACTTTTAATACGATTAACAGTTATTCTATTATTTAATTTACAAAATGTATTTTATTATAGCATAATCAATGTGTACAAACAACGATTATGTAACTTTTTAGAGTTTGCTCAAAATGCCACTGATGTAAATGAAATACGAGATTATGTGATGACCACGGCTAGAGAGGAGATGGCTAATGTCTCAAAAGAGATGATTTGGATTGGTATAGTACTAAACTATGCTGAGTTTGTAATCAGAGAACTCCACGGCAAAAGCCGCACGGTAAAAAACATCATGAAGCAAACAGCAATAGTGAAATCACTTCTTGGGAAGACTCAGGTATGCTTAGAAAAATAAATAAATCGAGTTCATTCCTTTTAAATAAAAAATAAATTCTTGTGATTATATTATTATTTAGACTCTCAAACAGCTCGTTTCATATGAATGTCCAAGAGGTTGACTTTTCATAATACACATTTCTTAGTATTAATTTTTTTATGGTTAGCAATGATAATTTGTTTAAGTTTAGACATAATGTATTTATATATATTTAGATTGTTTCATATACTTTGTTTTTCGGTTTCTGTTCAATAAAACATATTTGATATATATTCGTTGACAATATTTGTTCCTTTGAAAAGAATATTTTTTAATTGTACCAATTTTTAATGTAAAACATAAAGAATAAAATAAGTCGCTATTATATATACAAGGCTTTTATCATTGACCAATTATTTAATTGAAAAATAAAAATAATATTAACAATATTTTTATTGGATACTTTTAATTACATAGTTTTCTCTATTGGTCAATTATGAAGTATTTTTTGTGTTCATGCATTATTTGGGTGTAAACTTTATTTTTTCAAATAACTGACCGACGTCTTAAAATACAAAATAATGATTAACACAGCTTTTTACGAACAAAGTGGCGTAAAGCCGTATATTGTGGTCAGAAAATTAATCACAAAAAAATGAGACACAATTGATCTAGTTCTGAAAGCTATGTGTTTAAATTTTTCACTCGCAAGAATAAAACCAAAATATTTAAAATCGACGGTATTATTAAGTAACACAATACAATTTGGTTAAAATGTAGTGCGTCGGCGACTCTTTTCGGGAGGTGTCACAAAGAAGACTCCTACAATGTATTTTTGCGGCGGGTCGTCGACGGACGTGCGGTACTTGCTGGACTTAGTACTGAGGCGTATCGCACGCGGTGTTAATCAGTCAAACTACCATTGACACATAGTAGGACGACGACTGATAAAGGTGGCACCGTGTCATAACAAAATACTTAATTAACTGGCTTATTTAAAAGATAATTATCTAATTAATAAAACGACTGCCCCATGATAACTTTTGGACCAATAATTCGGAAGTTATTGACATATTTAAACCTAGGTGGGAGGAAGTATCTAGTTATAAAAATAGCAGCACCCACACTTCACCTCCAGTCATGACTTTAAATTGTCAATAACTTCCGAAATACTGATTCCAAAGTTGTAATCAGTCAAATAAGGGGATGTGGTTGATCGTTTCATAGATGACATACCGATATGACACTGTAAATAGAAGAACTTCTCAAGACTAACGTGGAAATTAGTTTCATAAATACTTTAAATTTGTGCTCGACTATTATACGGTTAGATTAAATAATGCTTCTATAGAAAAATGAATTATTTAATTTATGATTTTATTGTTTAGATTCATTTGTGTATTGAATAATCGGTGATGACTTTTATGGCAAAGCAAACAAAATTCAGATTTGTTTGCTAGACTTGACACTTCAGAATTGCCGAGTAATCATCCGTGTTGTTTAAACGCTAATAAGAAGATGTCTGGTTTGTATAGCGGCGAAGCACGAGAAATATCTATATTTGATTTCATTAGTCTCAGACCGAAATTTTATGGATTTTTGACTTGGAAGCAAATGAGAAATGCAAAGCGAAAAGCATAAGAGGACTCGTTATCAAAAATCATCTCACAGTTGATCACCTGAAATTTGTACGCTGAAGAAGAGCCGACAGTAAGCGACGTTTACGCTACAGCGATTACGTGTGTTGCAATGGATGTAAACAACATTCATGGAAGTGACGCACACCCTTATTGTCCTGTTGTGAGGTACACGACTTATACGCCATATAGAGAAAATGTGTCAATTGGATCATTTCAACATCAAATATATACCATTAAAACTATAAAAATGACCTTAAACCATTTAGATGATAAGTGGTTTATATTTGAAGACCTAACTACTACCTATGCTTATGGACATTATAAATTAGAATATATACACTCTTATTATTTATTATTAAAACTATATGCTAGTTGATTAATATTATTTTTAGAAATAACAACAATGATGAAACTTAAGATTTGTGCAAAACAATAAGCATAATTTAAAATATTTACTCTGTACAAATTTATAATTATAAACGGAAATTATAATGAATAAATATATTATGATTATTATTAACTAGTTTTTGAAAAAATTAAAAGTTTTCGAATGTTTTATTATTATTATTATTTACAAAAATTATGAATAATTAAAGTTAATTGAAAGCAAAAGTGATAAAAATATGTAAATATTTATATAAATTATACCAATCAATCTATCTCGACGAGATGCCTTTAATTGAATATTTTTCTTGTTCTGCTAGTAACTTGGTGTATGTAATATCCACCACATGGTTAATAACATCTTCTTTAACTAACTCAACCGCTGATATTTTAAATGACCGATTTCCAAATTTTAATTTATCGTTTGGAATTGTTTTTATCGCCTCGAGTATAAAGTTATATTTTATTGGCACCATTTCTTTAAGAAACTCGTGTAATATTTCAATTAATTCTTATCTTTTCACGAATAAAAACCATTGATAACTGATTGCGTCTTTAATACACTAATTACAATTGTGCCTGCCTACATTTTCGCTAATAAATCTATTTTCTAAACACAAAAACTCATATATTTATTTACCTTCAATTAGCATACAAATTAATAATAAGATATTTTCTTGACACATCACACGTAGACATAGATCCCAATTGGACATGTTTTAAGCATTATAAAGTTAAAAATGTAAAATATAAAATCGAAAATTTTCACACAAAAATAGCTTTAGGTAACTATTTTCACCGTAAAGACAAAATAAAGTCTGAATTTTTTTTTTCCATAATAAAGCATATTACATTAGCTTTAAGATATATATAAAATTGTCAGACTTTCCAGAACACTTTCAAAAGTTAAGTTGGAAAAGTTCAACTTTCTATATGCCTTTTTTAGATTTGAAAATAGTCCGATTTAAAAAAAAAAGGATGCCGAATGAAAGATGTGTATAAATACTACTTCTCATGAAAAATGTGTATTGATCCATATATTTTTCAAAAAGTTATAGGATTATAAACTTAAAAATTAAAAATATGAAATCGAGAACTTTCATACAAAAATATCATTCAGTAGCCATTTTCATAGTGAAGACAATCTAAAGTCCGAATTTTTTTTCAATGATAAAGTATATTAGCAACATTAGTAACATTAGCTTTAATTTAAGATATAGATAAAAGTGTCTGATTTTCTGGAACACTTTCAAAATTTAAGTTGAAAAAGTAAATTTTTTGTGAAAAACTGGTCATTTTAAATCTTCTTGCTGTGAGCAGGTTTAGTGTAAAATTTACAAAAAAAATATATCAAAAGAAAGGTAAAGACATTATGCATCTATAAAAAAAATTATATTGATTTGATTATTTTTGAAAAAATTATGATAGTTTTAAATAAAAAAAATTGAAAAAATGTTGAAAAATTAGCGATTTTTAATTTTTTTGGAGATTTCCCCCATTTACGGTAAACGAAGGAAATTTTTCAATTTTTGAGGGTAATATCTTCGACTAGATACGATTTGTGATCTTTTGACGTATCGTTAAAAGAAATCTGTCCAGTGAGAACTGAAAAAAAGTGGTAACAGACACAAAAAAAAAACACATATTAAAACCAATTCCTTCTCAGCTTCGCATCGAAGCTAAAAATAGAATATTTTATTCCACATAAAATTTTCTATTTAATAATATAAATTCTAAACTTGCAAGTTTAGCTAAATTGTGTTTAATAATTCAACATTTTTGTATAAAATTTGATTATAATTGTATAAATCCATCGTTAAATTCAGGTAAAACTAAAAATCATTTTTTTTAGATTTATGATTTATTATACTGGTAGTAACATACACAAATAGAGTTGAAAATTTAATAAATTACAAAGTAAAATTATTTACTTTGGTAGTTGAATACTCTTTATCATATCAAATCTAATTCAACATCAAATACTTTAAAAATATTAGAAATGAAAGATTTTAATTGTTTATATGGAGAAAACGGTTTAAGCTATTTTTTATTTGAATAATTTTTAAAGGTAATATCTTCAACTAAATACAAATTGTAATAATTTGACGTATCGTTTAAAAATGTAGGTCAAGTGAGGATTGGGAAAATAAATCGTAGTCACAAAAAAAACCACATAATAAAATAATATTAACATGAATAAGAAATTTCTTCTCACAAGGGAAGACTACAGTGGTTGGAACCTTGATATTTATTGAAGTTATTGATTTTAAACGAGGTAAAAATCAAATGATTTCAAAATTTTTTTCTAACTAAAATAAATGCAAAATGTTAATGGCGTCAGACAACTTCGAACCTCATACCCCCTCAGCATGAGAAACACCGATTCGGCAACTGTCCTTCGCCTTCATCGAGTTATAAAATTGGCAATTTAAGCTAATTCAATTTTAAATGTTACTTAATCGACTTTAAAAAAGCAAAACAAATTTAAATAAGTTTAACTTTTTATGTTTTATGAACTTTATTTTACGAAAATTAAATATTATAATATTCATGAAAGTCAGTGTATTCCCCTTGTAAATATTTTAAAATAAAATAAAGTTCAAAACCCAGAATTTTAACACAAAAATAGCATATTTTTGAATATGGTTGGGAATAATGTCTTGCGAAAAACAAGTGCATAATTTATTGCAGTAAGAAATATCAAATTTATTCAACTATATTTAACAGTAATTTTAGTAGTTCTAAAATAAGTATATCTCTTTATTGACAAGCAAAATTATATCAAGTATCATATTTATTTAAAATTATTCCGTAAAATTTATTATTAGATCTAATAATAATTACANATTAACAAGCAAAAATATATTAAATTAACATCTGGTTAAAATATGTGAGTACGATTTAATATTAGATCTAATAATTATGTACTGCTAGCTACAATATATAAATACGATTAATTCTATATAAAATTCATTTAATTCTTTGAAAAGTTTTACTCATTTATCGAATTTTAATTTCTGTAAATTAAGAATAATGAATTTATTTGTAATTTTCTCAATATTTATTACACTATACTTAATATCTGATTCACGTTGTAACGACAAGTTAACGGACGAGGATATAATGACAGTCATAAATAGTAATGGATGGAAATCATTAAAACTGAATGGTTATTTTGAAAATTATCAAGGAGATTTAGTTAAAAGTAAGATCGAGGTAGATTTTCTAGGCACGCAAGATCCTGATACGTCTTACAAATATGGTGGTATACTATTAAATTCAATTTATGTCTGTCTTATGGAACAACTTTATAAGAAGTATAGAAATGCAGCAAATCACTATATGAGATTAAATGAGTATGATGATCAATTAAAAGGCCTAAACAAATTATGGACAAGTATAATTATGTTGAAAAAATTGATAATCCATATGATAAACGGCTTGAAGTTTTTTAACTTTAAGGAAAAAGAAGTGCTTGAAAATCTTGTAAAATTCAATAAATGGATTGATAACTTTAAAATAGAAAATTGCGATGAATATATAATTTATATTATGTTTGGTGACATAATTAATGCCGTAGAATTTGACGAAACTCTTCAGAAATTTAAAAAAAAACACGTTGTTGAACCCGTTGTAGAATCCGTTGTTGAAAACCAACCAGAATATATTATTTATAGTTTTATTAATTCCTTATGTAGAGTTATTGATTTTAATATTAACGATGAGGAATTAATTGATCCCAATCAGAAAGGTTTTAATTTAATAATTGAGCGTGGTATTTATGCTTTTTATTTCGATTTTGGATTAAGATACACTCAATTCAATCAAATCTTCAAGGATGAAGAAAAAATTGTCTTTTGAAATAGGAACATACATTTTCTCAGTAATAAGTCTTAGGATTGATTTCCTGAAAAACATTGAATGAATAGTAGTAATTAAAAAAAAATTAAAAAAAGGAAAAACACTAAAATAATTAGTTATAAGTTTAAAAAATATATTTTCATTTTATTTGAATAAATCTATTGATACTTAACGAATTAGTTATTGTCATTTAAAGTAGTCAAAATGATTTCTTTAATTTTAATTTGTGTGATATAAATTATAAATAAATGCTCATCAATATTTTTAAGAATAATACAATTTCATTGATTTGTATTCATATTACTGTAGAAATAAATTAACTTGAATAATATTAATTGCAGTTTTTGATTATTTATTATTTTTTATATTTTTAAATGTTACACTTATGACATTTACAGAGCTGTATTACTTGTTTTGTCTTAAATAAAATAATTCAATAATGAAGGATTTTCTGAGTCTAATAAAATTCAAATTCAAATTCATCCATAACTTTTAAGATAAACTTATTTATTCATAATAAATTATTATAGCTAATCTTTTTTTATTTATTTAAATATAATGGTTATTGATAAGTGGCTTTACATGAAAAATAAATTTTCTAATACCATCTCTTTGACTCTAAACCGTATATATTTTCGATTTCAAAATTGATTCTCATATTTTTGAAGTTATTAACATCTTTTTAGTTATTGCAGGAGATAAAACACGAATATTATGAAAACAAAATAACGTGCGAAATTTTTTTTTTTCCATAATAAAGTAAATTACATTAGCTTTAATTTAAGGTATATATAATAGTGTCAGAGTTTCCGAAACACTTTCAAAAGTTAAGTAGAAAAAGTTCAACTTTCTATATGCCTTTTAGCTTCGATGCGAAGCTGAGAAGGTATTAATTTTACTATGATGTGTTTTTTTTTTTTTTTTTTTGTCTGTTACCACTTTTTCTCAGCTCTCACCGAACGGATTTCTTTCAACAATACGTCAAAAGATCACAAATCGTATCTAGTCGAAGACATTACCCTTAAAAATTGAAAAAAATTCCTCCGTTCCCTTAAATGGGGAAAACCTCCAAAAAAATTACAAATTTAAAAATCGCTAATTTTCGACATTTTTTTTACTAAAATGTGCCGTAACTTTTTCAAAAATGAACATATCAATATAATTTTTTTTTATAGATGTT